ATCTCGATGCAATCCACCATCTTATCCTTGAATTGTGGCTCGACGTCTTACTTGAAGTTCATGAGCTCCAGTTTATTCTTGTCTCTGACAGGGGGATAGTCCTTCGTGATCACACCCACAATCTTTCTAATCGTCGTCTTGGTGTAGTAAACAATGGAGTCGAGCGATACCTAGAAGGTCATTACTCAAACTGTATTCTCTTTTTCCACTATCTGAAATTTATGTCACTCCAGGCGCGTCATCCACGAGCGTAGACTCATTACATAAGTCGTGTCAAACAACAATGCCTCATCCTCCCCTAAGTTTATGAGGCATATAAAAAGTGCCCTATCTCTTGCAGCGTAGACTAAGATGTTTGGTTCTTCAAATCTTATCTTAACATGTTGTACCAGAGGAGCGAGCATATCATCATCGACCAACTATTTTTGTAGGCTCAAATAAAATTAGCCTTCACCTTTCTTGGTAAACATTTTAGAGCGTCACCGAACTCTACCACTATCGTTCATTGAACTTCATTCCTTGAACATTAGACTCTTGTTTAATCGTAAGGGTCGGAGATGTAACACCCAAGTAGCCATGCTCCTCATTTCTACCTATATATGTGCTTGGTCAATTATGATACTGCTATTTTACCCTCTCACAAGGCTCTTGCTTTTACCTACTTTTGGGTTTCATACTACAAAATCTTGTCGTATTCAACTGCGAAAGCAAAGAGAAAGATAACTCTCATGTTCTCTTCATTGTCGTCAGCCTTAAACCTTAAACCACTAGTACTTGGCTCATCTATTGGTCGCGAAAAATAAGAGTCTCAGAGTAGAAATGTTTCTAATCGGATGAATTTGGGCGCTCCTGTAGTGACCCGTATGTTTCCTAATGTTGTAGCTTGTATATGCCATTGGGCATGAGTTTAGGAAGTACTAGTGGTTTAACTTACCGCGCCATAAGAAACTAAACCTTCATAGTGAATGAAAGTACCTCGGGTTTATAGTGTTGAAGGACAACACGACTACCATGTATTATATTCCATCACAGTATGCACTAAAAATGATCAACCTCACATACATGATCTGGCTATGTCTACGCCTACCATCAGGTTCCATGAGATTCTCACGTTATCATAATGAGCATTATGGTGAAGATGATGGTCAGGCATCACCCATCCACACGACGCGAACATGTTAGCGGTTAGGATGCTCGATGTCCTGCACCAAACAACAGGCTTAGGCAGGAGCGCTAACAAAGTATCACTGACCAGAACCCTTTGTCGTTAACCCCCTGCCACTGCTCAAGCCCCTTTGTTATTAGTCCTCTTCGAACCAACGGTTATCTCTAAGTAGTGGGCGCCATGTATACGAAACAAAATGGCAGGGAAAAGTACATGTGGTGAGTTCGCAGTCGTCAGGGTTGCGTTTTTCACCCCGTAGACATTTCAACGTCACTTCAAATTTCAACGTCGGTGGCCGTTGGGGAGGGTGGATATTTTTGAGTTTGGGGGGCCTTGAAAGGGTCAGGACCACATAGGACCGGTAGCTGCCCGTAGGAGGTCGAGGAGGTCGCGATCCTTGAGCTTTGAACATTTCGAGATTGAAACAGTGTAGGTCCACTTTTCTCGAATAACAGAGCACCTCAAATAGAACACTTACACGTTGTATTCGAATATAACGTGTACCTTTTCTATTCGGATTAAAAAAAAAAAAACTCTTGTATTCCAATAAAATTACTTCCTTTTACTTTTTTGGAGGTCATTGCCTGCCCTTGTGCTCCCCGCTACTTACACTGCATGCTGCGTGTTGCAAGTCTCTCTCTCTCTCTCACACACACACACACACACACACACACACACACACACACACACACACACACACACACACACACACACACACACACACACACACACACACACACACACAAAATCAATTTTTGGTATGTTTGTTTTTCCGCCTCTCCCCTAATTTTTCTAAGTATTTTTGTATGCCCAACTGAGCACCTTTAAGGAGTGCCAAACAGTCGGTGGTTCCTCGTTTGGAGTGCCTACTACACTCTCATGGGGGCCGCTTAGTTCGGGATGTCTGTGTTGCCTGTAGGTAATGATGAATGCTCGTCGGAGTCTCTCCCTGGGTCAGTGGGTGGTGGGGTTTACCCGTAATGTGAGTAGGTGATGTGTTGCTTTGCTCCGTATTGGATGTGTGGACGGCCTCGTCTGCGCTTCGCCACTGCCTTGCTGCCCGTTCCGCTTGCCTCGCAGGTCGTTCTTGGCAAGCCACTGTCTGCGCTGTGTGGTGTGGCCGGTTTGTGGTGTTGCCTTGCGCTTCGCTGCTCCGTTGCTTTGCCGCCCTTCCGCTGGTCATCCTTTCCGTGTCCTTTGCTTGCGCACCGTGTAGTTAGGTTGTCGTGTTGGTGTTGCCTTGTGTTTCACAGTATGGTTGCTCTGCTCCTTGTCCGCTTGCCCTGCCGTCCCTTGTAGTGTGGTTGTCTTGGTGGTGTTGCCTGGTGCTTCACTACTTGGTTGCCGTGCTGCAAATCCTGTGTGTCGTGTCGTTCCTTGCAGTCGTTTTTGGCGTTGTGCAGCCGTGTTGCCTTTACTGCGTTGCCTGGTGCTCCGCAGGGTTGCTTCCCGCTGCTATGTTCCACTTGAGGACAGTCTGCCTTCAACAAGGGTCAAAGGGTGCATGACCCAAACCATCAATTCGGGCATTTTGCAGATTGCCGAGGGTTTAGCCTCCTGATGAGTCGGTGCAACTCCGACGAAACAATCTTTCATCACCAGTTTTTTTATTTATTTTTTTCGGTCCTTCGACTGTCTTGGAACTTGTTGTTTTTTTTTGTCTGTCTGCTGGGCGTGCTTGTATGGCGTTTGTCCTTCTGCCTCCCCCGTGCCCCCCAGCATTCGTCCTTCCTTGTCCTCTGTGCTTATGTATTGTTTGCCCTCCCACCTCCCCCTTGCCCTCCAGCCTATATGTTCCTCATACTTTTCATTCACACTGTATGGCAACCGCTCCACTTGCACGGCTACGACGCACTCTAAAGCGCCTCGGCTGCACCGCATAACTCGTTCCATTGTTGACAGACTTCACCATCCCTGCCAGGATTCCGTAGTGTGCCGGCCATTATTCCGGAGCTCAGACAGCCCGGAGTAAGCGGTCTGGCGTGCATATGAGCACACACCCAAAACACACACACACACACACACACACACACACACACACACACACACACACACACACACAGATGAAAGTCCGACGAAACAGTCTGGTACAATCATGCTTTTCTTGAGTGTATAGCGAATATGACAACACACACACACATTCGCATACACACGTTCACACATTCTCCTGTCGATTGATAGGGGGCGCCACCTGCTGGAAACTAGCTCCAGTGTCCCATGAACATCGTG